CACTCGGAGTGACTTCGCCGGACCCGGACCTGGACAGCTCATGTCCAGGAACTGGACGCATATTCGGTCAGGTCCAGACATATCCGGACCTACAGACATGCATGGTTCCAGACAAATTATGTATGCAGAATAACAATGGAAACCACTTTTGGCTCAGACTCATGTCGGAATTCCTAACCAAAGAACAAAAGTCAAAAACTATCAAAACTCGAGGACAACAAATTATTAATAATTCATTACTTGGGACATGCACCATGTCCAGAACCCCCAAAAAAAACAAAAACGGGCCTGAAAAACCCCCAAAACGATTTTGGGTGCTTGGCTACTCCGTGGGGAGGGAATTGGACCGTGTTTGGGGCGGGKGGGGGGGAGAGGAGATCCGGACCCTCCGGACCGGATGTGTGGAGTCCGGACGTCCGGATCATAGCCATGGTCACTCTTCAGTCCCTTCTCGTTAACCAATTGTGGCCAAAACAAACAAGTAATAATATCAAGATTCTCAAGCATAATGGCAATCCCATTCCTAATCCCTTATGCCTATTTGTAACTTAGAACTACTGTAACAGTGAAACAACTCGTTAACCAGTGATGACCACTTATTATGGGATCTGTGTTCAGCTAAGACCAGCAGTATTGATGATGCTTTTATGATGCATCCTCAAAACTTTAATGGAATTGAGAAGCCGGTTGTGTATTTCATTTTCAAAATGGTGGCTTGAAAACCATGTACCAGCCTACTACTAGGCACTGTAGGTGGTTTGTACATCTCATTTCCAGAATGTACTCCCTCGACATTTGGTTTTGAAGATTGAACAACGTTGAGCGCCTGGTGGTGTGTAGTTCTGTGTACTGGGTGCTCTGTCGACATTTCTCTCAGACTTTGAAGTTTGTGCAGCACTGGCACTAGGCATCTGGTTGCACTGTTGCACATATCGTGAAAACAGAACCGCCCGGTAACCGCCGACATAGAGGGAGAAGAGGACAACAAACGAGGAGCTGCGGCATTGCATATATATGTTCAGATCGGCATTCAACATCATGCAGTATCTCGACTGCCATGCTATCACTGCTAAGATTCACATTCGGTCTAGTCTGTAAACATTGCAAACAGATGTCTCCCTTGACTTTTCTCATGAATGCAATAATAAACATCATTTTTCCAATATGACATTTCATTTAGCATGTGATTACTAGACTGGATATAGCTCTCATGGTCAGCAGCAAGAAGGTGTCTGTAGGCTATACCTACTTCAACAGCTTCAGCTATCAATATCCATTTGAAAGTTGAGAGGCTAATAATAGCACAGTCAATCATCCACGTGATCCTGCTCAATTTGGACTTCATAGCCTCTTGGGAGCCAATGAGGAAGGGGAGGAGCACAATCCGACCCGTTCTCATCATCCCTTTACTGCTTATTCAACCATCCACTTGATCCTGCTCGTTCTGGATTTCATGATAGCTTATGGGCAGCGGAGGTAGGAACGAAGATTTTCATGCAGTCCTAACTTCCTCAGCAGAAGATTCCTGAACTCCACACTGTCAACAGCCTACAATGTCCTCTAATTAAAAGACACTGAGTCTCAAGTTATGATTCAACCTCATACTAGGCTCATACACGCGCAAAACTAATCAGCTAGACCATATTCCACCTGCTGCATACCATATCAGCGGCGGTTATTACATAGTTGTTTGTTCAGTTTGGACACAACATAAGCATGACCACATGGAATCCCTCCTATCCGACAGTTTGGACACAACATAAGCATGACCACATGGAATCCCTCCTATCCAACCAGTCCACAGTCTCCTGGCTCGTACGGTCAAAACCATACTTGCAAGCAGATGGACCGGACGAGCGTCCGGTCCGGTCTGCTTTGCCGCGTGCGGCACCCTCCCCCTGGACCAGAAGGACCCGGACCAGACCAGACGGGGGCTTTTTTTTTTTGGGGGGGGGGGGGGCGTAACTGGTCCTCGGGCGCACATTCATGCGCCACGCGGGTCCAGTCCGGCAGTCTGCCGCACGTGCGGAACCGCCCGGACGGCGCCCGCTTGCAAGTATGGTCAAAACACATTCCTTAACAGATGGAGACTCAAATCATTATGACACCTTGTTGCTCGTTCTGTGTTTAAACGCTACCTCTCATCGTTGCACCTATTCTGATCAGAGAACGTACCTGATTCAACAAATGGCGAGAGACCTCCAACAAAGACTTTTCGTCCAAGGCCCTCATTCTCCTGCAGCAGACGAACCAGGTAAAAGCCGTTTTTGGCCACAAAAGATGCCATCGTCATGTGCATCCCATCACACCGAACACAGAAAATAGAGTGGCAATAAAAACAATGGAGAACCCAGCGTCCTCACATACAAGCAAAGGCCTCATACACAAGCAAAGGTGCGACGACCTATGCAGCTACAAATCCATTGTCTCACAAGTTATAGGATTCAAAAACTTGGAGCACACAGAACGCAGAAAATAGAATGGCATTGAAAACAATGGAGAACCCAGCATCCTCACATACAAGCGAAGGCCTCGTACACAAGCAAAGGTACGACGACCCATGCTACAAATCCAGTCTCACAAGTTATAGGATTCAAAAACTTGAGCTCGTGTTCACCGAACATCAACAAACATCTGATATCAGTTCGAGAGTGGAGGTTAATGCATCCATGTAATGGAATGCAAACAATCTGCAAAGTGAGCAACCCTAGCAGTAGTCCAAACAGCCTGGGAGGTTAATGCAACCACTTAATGGAATGAAGACAATGCATGAAGTTCCCAGCAGTAATGCATGAATTCCCACCAGTACTCTCGATCCAAATATAGGATTCAAGATAGGAAAGGGTCCAGTCCCACCCCCCACCTAAACGCGGCAAACCATGTTGTCTGCCCTAAAAAAGAACTTTCACATCATTTTTGCACCCCAGGGTCTGGGCCCTTCTGGCCTTCCCAGCCCTGCTGGCCATGAACCTGCCCTGCTGGACGTGGACCAGGGTCCAAAAATGACAAGATTTTAGGGCACACTACAGATTTTGCCCCGTTTGGGAGCAAACAACCATGGGGAACATCTACTACTTCCCCCTTCAAAATACCTTAGCCAACACATTGCTCAGGGCTGCATGTGCATCTAATTGCACTACCCCCTCCCCCTTCCACTACCCCCATTGACAAGCACTAGATCTTATCACTGTGAGCCATGCCATGTGTGTGCTGATACATTAAATTCTTGGAGTAACACCAAAACCTGACCACAATACAGCGATCACCACTTGTCATCTAGCCTCACAACTTCACAAGAACTTCAGAAGAAGGGTGGACCTGGGCGTTTGTGATGGGAAACTTCTCAATGACTCGTTTGATTCAGCATGCTGCAGACCGAACTCAATGGTCTGGATTTCCAACTCCGAACAACATAACAGAGTCGAGGCTGTCAAGTTTCAACCCATCCTATGAGTCCCAGAAGGTACCATCATCCGATTCTGGATTCCAGATAACACATACAGCCTACCTTCCACTCATCATAGTAACCCCGGCTACAACAAGAGAGGCTGGCGCACGGACAGAGAACCGCCTTCCACAGTTACTGTATGCCAGGCAACCCCCCGTAGTAGTCGGTCGGGAACTGCCTCTACGTGTGTGTGCTGTGAATGAAGCCTCGTCATGAGTGCAGATTATAGTGAAAAGAAAGATGAGAAACAGGAATATGTCATTGCAGGGGGGTAAAAATCCTGATTCAGAACCAATTTCATGCTCCTACCCTGATAATCCCTGATTCATGCACATGCACCATGATACACGAAACGACCCCACAAGGTCCTACCCTTACAGCTGCTGATAGATTCGACGTGGTTATGCCACGAGCTGATCGGGAATCATTCCAACAACAATCCGAACACTCCATAGGTTCAAACCTGATCCAAGTTCATCCAACCAATAAAAAATTACGGCAAACCATTCTTCCAGAGCTCAGAAGACCAAACCTCGGATGGACAGCAGCAGCCTCAGCAGGCCACTCAACCTCGTCATGGTAGAGAATCAAACGACGTACGCAACGTACTTGAGCTTTACAGTTTTCAGAGTGACCGTCGCATGAGATGGAAAACACCTTCCAGCAGGAACCAGCAGATTGAATTTGCAGTTTTAACTTAGCAGATGTCAGCCTCTATCCTTAACATTCTATAGAATCTATACTCATGCCCAATGATCCAAAAGTCACAGACCAGATCCTCTGTGCCAAGTGGGACAAATGATAGTTTGTTGATGGCTCCAAGGTTCTGAGCCTTCAGATAACAGTGGGAGAAAAAGAAAAGAGGCGACAACAAAAGAAGCCATGCAATCAGCTATCGCTGCATCCCTACCTTTCCTTTGTTGTTGACACCGTGTACAGCATCACTGAGCGGCGGAGCTCGAGACTTCAAAAGCTCCTTTTCGCCATGTGCAAAATAGCAACTCTCTCCCCTCACACACCCACCTGGCATGCTGAAGTATCGGCAAAGCTCACTCTTCTGGGGTGCAAATGCCCTTGCACTTTGCTGCTGTATGCTGCATCAGGGATTCGGGTGATATACAAGCCACAGTAAACACAAAGAATGAGCACAGTCAGCACCCCAACTCCCACACCCACACCCTCAGAGAAATAGAAGCCCCAGTACACAGAGAGAGAGAGAGAGAGAGAGAGGGGGGGGGGGGGGGGGGGTTATCTCAGTAGGCTGAGTACGGAATCTACTGCAAATGGGTATCAGGCGTACACAGTGCAGACATAACGAATTGCATTGGGACAATTTTTGTATACAAATGACTAAGATAGCGCCATATCATTAGAGGAGCCCCGAGACTCGGCAGAACAGCTTCAAATACTCTCCAATTTCACATTATTTCAGGTCGAAGCTAGATCACTTGCAGATACCTACATGACTGACAAGTACCTTTTTATATGCAAATGACTAAAGATAGCACCATATCATTAGAGGAGCCTCGAGACTCGGGAAAACGGACCTGAAATACTGTCCAATTTCAGGTCGGAGTCAGATCACTTGCTGATGCCTAAATGACTGACAAGTATCTTTACAGCTTTTCCACTGTTGCGGCTGCTGCTTCCAGCCTTCCACACCACACAACGGGGCAAAAAACAAGAAAAGACATCCAAGTGGGCAAAAACATAGCAGTGAGCATGCACGTGTACATCCCTCTAATTCGTCCAGGAATATAAATACAAAAAGCTGCGGCAAAAGCATGACTCTTAGATTTACCATGAATTCCAGTTCCACAGACCTTTCATTGAGGTCTGGCTCTGACCCAGACCTCTTTGTTGACATCATACCCCTTTTCTTCAGCTTGAGAGCTGCAAGCGGCCCTGGCAGATTCAGACTTGTTGGCTGAGCAAGGGGTGGCAAAGCAGGTCCATTCGCATCTGAAGTCTTCTTTCTCATCACGATCAGCTCCCTTTCGTGATTGCCTGACACAATATCATAGCAAGAACGGAAAACGGTCAAGCATCAAGGTACTGCTACATTTCAAATTATTCTTTTGACAGCCATTCAGGGTTGCACCCCCCGACCGTCCACGGCCCTCGACTGGTCGGCTGCCGACCCACCGACCAATCGGCTGGTTGGCACCTACCGGTCGGGGGTCGTCAGCATCCCGCACAAAAAAAAAAATATATATATATACCGTCACATATACCGTCACATATATATATATATATATATATCAGGTCCAAAACCCCTAATAACACCAACAACCCCACAGCGGTTCCCAAGACCCCCATGCACCCCCCCAACACCCCAAACCGCCCCCAACACCTTCATTCCCCCCCCCAACACCCCCTACACACCCCCTACACACCCCCCATACCCCCTCTATACTCCAACCCCAACCCCCCCATCCCTAAAAGTTTATCAGCGGATTTCGGCTGTACTCAGCAAGCGCAGTACAGCCCCCCATTCAGATTTGAAAAAAAATCAGTTTTTTGTTTTTGTTTTTTTTTCGACTGGTCAGCAGGCCAGTCGGTCCTACTGGTTGGCTCCAATACGGTCGGCGGTCAGGGTTGGCAGTTGTCAGGGATGCAACCCTGCAGCCATTGCTATACCTCCCTGCTATAGCTATACCTCCCTGCTATGGCAGGTAGCTACTGCTATGTTTGGACAGCCATCGTCAGACTTATTGGCTGCACAAGGGGTGACAAAGCAGGTCCATTCGCATCTGAAGTCTTCTTTCTCATCAGCTCTTAGCTGAGTCAACTCTCTTTCGTGACTGCCTGGCACAATATCATAGTGACATATTAAGAATGGAACACGGTCAAGCATCGAGCTACTGCTACATTTTGTATTAATGTTGTTAACACAACTCAACAGCCATTACCTCCCTGAGTCCCTGCCACGGCAGGTAGCTACTACGTTCGGACAGCCATTGCTATACGCCCCCACTACTGCTATGGCAGGTGTGGATAAAGTCCAACAACGCTATAAGAAGATATATCTCAGCCTTCTCAGACACTCAGCATTAGTCTAGCACCTCCCCATATTTTCTCGTTAACAGTTGATGTGTCCTGCTTGACATTTGCTTTCTTTCATCTCCTTTTTGTTTTCTTCATCGTTTGATTTCTGGTTCATTCTCTTCCGAATCGAGTCTTTGGGCCAGGCATTTGCTTTGTGTTCTCTTTTCATCAGTTCCGTGTTCTAAACTTTCGGTTGGCATCTTTGCATGAAAGACTGCCAGGGTATTAACACCGAATGAGGCATGGATAAAGAACTGTGGACAGTGTGGAGTCGTTTTGACTAATGTTCCGTTGCAGTTGATGGGGAGGAAAAAAAGTTCAATATGGAAACAGTGGTGTGCTTGCCTGTGCGTGTTGCGGACTGCAAGTTTTCTACATACACAACGACTACGGCAACGTGCCCCTCTTTGCGGCAAAAAGAAAACAAACCAAAAGAGACCGTCAAACCAACAGTGAATATAAACATCACCCAGGAGCATAGCAAAATGAGAATTTCGAAGTCAGAATCTTCAGAACCACCCAATTACTCCCATCCATTATACCAAAGAGTCGTCAAGAAACCTTAGCTTAGTTAAGTTAGCTATTTGCTGGATTCTTGACGTGCCTTGTGTAGATTACATTTGACCAAAAAAAAAAACGTACCAAACAAACTACTGTAAAAATATTGTGCGCTGAATCCGCTGATGCCACTGCTGCACCAAATATGAATTTAGTATCTGAGAGCTGATACGCGTGTTGAGGAGAGGAGAAAGAGAAAGACTCTAAAATTCTGAATATATGACAGGCGAGAGTTCCCCACTTTCGTGGGGCATGGCTGACGAGCTGTGCACACGATACTAATTTCACAAAAGGAAATTGGAATGCAACCAGGTGAACACTCACATTGCAAAAAGTTGTAATCATCGATACAGCACTGCACTCCAGCGACAAGCAGTTCACAAACATCTGCACCTTGCGCCACATCAACCGGTCGCTCATTCCTGCAACACAAAAGAAAACAGGAATGCGAAGAACCAGACATCAACAAAAAAGTAATGCCCCAATCAACCCACAGAAGTAAATTAGAGAGGAACTTTCTGTAATCAGTATTACTGCAGGGATGCTTAGAGCGCCCCCAAGTGACAATTGAAAACGGTTACCTCTAAACATAGTAATCAATATTCCATCTGCACATGCTGGATATCTGGCCATCAATGCCCGTCATCAAACAGGCCCCAGCACCTGCAGGCCTTTTGTGCTCACACGGTCATAATAGGTGTGTTGACCATCAAGAAGGCTGATTTTCTGGCCCCTCATCAAACAGGTCCCAGGCTCCCAGCACATGCACGTATGCAGCACAGCAGGGGTATGCTTAGACCACATCCAGCACTGTCATAATGCGCATCAGCAAAGAGTCTCAAGGCGTACTCACACTAGCACATTTTGGACTCAGCTCTGAACGTCAGATTCATCCTGGCCCGAGCAACATTGCCATCGGATACATTTAAAAAAATGCTAGTGTGAGTATGCCCATTTCCCTCACACGAGCCTAAGGTGACAAAGCTACCTTCCAAGGCTCACGAGCCGGTAACCCTGCAGCCACAAACATCCTCCCCACAAAAAAACCGGGATAATTGGTGGAAGGTGCCCNAGCCACAAACATCCTCCCCACAAAAAAACCGGGATAATTGGTGGAAGGTGCCCATGGCCCCACGCCAAAACCTTTTCCCATTTGGCAAGATACGCCTACCGGAAAATGGACCTGGAACAGATACAGGGCCGGGTTCACTATCTGGTAGGAAGGGGGCCCACCCATGACCAGATCTCTACCGCCAGATTCCTGCATCTGCCCCTGTTGCCCATGGGTGCTTTTCACCAGCCAGGAAAGGTTTGGGCGTGCCACTGGGAGCTTTCCACCAAAATTATCTCCAAACTTCCAAAAGCCTTCGTATTAAACTTTTCTGAGTTCACCATGGGGGCCTACTGCACTCACCGGCCCTAGCAGGCTAGCAGCCACATACCGGCAATACTGCATTACAAAAATGACACGGTTTGCCGGGTTTGCCCCATTTGAGGGCAAACAATTACAAAACGTTTTGCCCAGGGGAAAACGGGAAAAAAGCAGATTCCTGCAGGAAATCCGTTAAAATTGGAATGATACAGAGAAGATTAGCATTGCCGCTGTGAAAAAAAAAAAAGAGAAAAAGATCAGTACTCGAGTATTCGCAAGAAAGTACTCCTATGAGGCTATGAGCCATGTGGCTGAATGGTTCACACATCACCTGTCAGTCAACCGATCATTTTTTTTTTGGGGGGGGGTGTGGGGGCTCGAGTCTTAGAGACGTAGAAATCCGACATACAAGATAGCATCAAGGATAATTATTAATTACGATAGGAGGCACTGCTCCTCCTAAGGATGATGGGCAGGCAGGGGGCACGATCCTTAAGCTCTTTGCTGTTGGAGTGCCGGTCAAGGTCTCATCGGTGAAGGGAGTGAACGCCACTCGGGCCTCGGCACACTGTTGAAATCGGCCCGCTCAAACAGCAGTATTGGCCCAGTAATTTTCAGCGGTTTATCCACCACCATCACCATCACGAGGAACAAAGAGAAAACGTGTAAAGAGACGAAGTGAAATAAGAATGACGTCTACTCTTAGTACTCTGACTCTACTGTCCTTTCACTTTTGGAAATGATAACTCACCGTATGTTCATAATGTCAACACGAGCCCCGTACTTCATCAGCAGACGCACACATTCCAGACGCCTGTTCTTCACTGCAAAGAACAGAGGAGTCTCCCTCGTGGAAAACACCACGGAGTGAGCTCCCTCCGGATTGGACTTGAGAAGAAGCTGCGTTCACATTCATACAATCATACGACTATTCAGCAAAGCAATGCCTTTGGCCATAGGATTGGAAAAGCGAGCAAGGGAGACACGGAGGTGAGAACAGAGAAGGGCACAAAACTCGGAGTCTCGGGGCGAGCTTCTCTTCTCCATGACACTGCCCTAGAGTAAATAGAACCAAACACAGAACCGTAAGCACTTTTTTTTTTTCCATTGGCAAAGAAGACAACAAAACTCCGTCACGGTGGCGAACTAAGTGAACTCTTCTCAGTGACACTGCGCTGCAGTAAATAGAACCAAACGCAGAAGCACACCACGTTTTGTTACCACAGGCAAAATGACAAGGCACGTTTTGTTACCACAGGCAAAATGACAAGACCTACAATGTCCTACATCAGCATGTGCTCACTGTTAAAACTCAAAAAAGGGATTCAGATCTCTCTCCTTCCTAGTAAAGAGGAAACCAGAAAGCAAATAAGAGTTGAAAAAAAAAAAAGATACAGGGCCACCTACACTACGGGAAGTGTTTGGGCTTCAGACTTCCGACATCGGTAATGTAGGCCCTGTAGGGTCTATGTGCGACGAGGGATATTAAAAACAGATTCAAACAGGTAACAGGACGTTAAGCCGCCTGAGGAACTGTTAGGAGCACTCCCCCAGCAACCTGCCTATCTGAGGGCTGCCCTACCCACGTGACTAGGTGCTGCCACTGCCTGCCAGTAAGCTTCCCGGTCAGTAGGGCAACCACCCTGAAAGGCTACGGATTGGGGGGGGGGGCGGGCGCTCTGCTACATTACAGTCCCCCCTTGCCAGGCGTCTAGGGCCACAAGGAACAGACTGGTCCTCTGTCTTGTCTGTTCTCCACCCTTCTTTTCAGATGTAAAAACATGCTTGCCGTTGATGAGCAACTGGCCTGAGCCCCCCAGAATAGAAGGGGCAATATTAAGGGGGGGGGGGGGGGGGGGGAAAAAAAAAAAAAAATAAAAAAAAAACAATGAACTAGTTGCGGCCTCGGGTGGATATATCTCAAGGCAGTTGCCCTGTAAAAAGAAAAAAAAGAAGAAAAACAACCTACAGGCTACAGGCAGTGTGCTGTCAAGAGCGTGTTAGAAAAGACGCAACTCAACAAACTACAAGGCAAAGAGGTGCAGCTGAACAAAACGAACTTTAAGGAAGACATCTGATTCAGGGCTGTCAGCACTGGCGAAGCCTCAAAAGAGTTATCCTAAGGTTCACTCTGATGCCATAATTGCCATTGGACAGTTGTCGATTCTGAAAAAGCCTATTTCATAGGTAGTAGGTACCTTAAGGGCCTCTGCATGCCCTTGACTGGCTGCGAAATGAAACGCCGTCGCACCAAGCTTGTTCCCCAAAAGCAAGTTAGCACCAGCCTCTATCAGATTTATCACAACCCTGTAAAAGCACCAAGAACCGCAGTTAGTGGGGGGCACTGGGGCCACCAATTCACTCATCCAGACTGCAATTCAAATATCAAAATCAATCCTATAGACAGCAACTCTGCCAACTCAAATCAACAAGAGACAGATTTTTTTCAAAAACCTCCCCAAAACGAGTCAGCCTAGAGGCTAGAACGTAAACTTGTTTGAGGCTGTTTCTCCTTCTCTTAGTCTCTTGGCTGCCTTCTTGGGCGGACCACTTGCTGACGCTTTTCGTCGCTTTCACCTATCGCTTAGAAGACTGCAATTCAAATCATAGATTCATAGAGACAGGCTTCACTCTAAGAACTCAATCACACCCAAACTGTTCCGGTTGGGTGCAAAGGGCCTACCGAAAAATGAAAAGGCCAGAGTATGAAGAGGACCTACCGAAAAAATGGAAAGGCCAGAGTGTGAACAGAGTACTGTGAAGAGCAACAGTGACTCGTACTTCCCCTTTCTCCCAATCACGCCCAAAGTCTTCCAGTTCGGTGCGAAGGGCCTACCAAGAAAATGAAAGTGTGAAGAGCGACAGTGACCTTACTTCCCCTTTCTCTCAATCACGCCCAAAATCTTCCCATTGCGTGCAAAGAGCCTACCAAAAAATAAAAAGGCCATCGTGTGAAGAGCAAAAGTGACTTTACTTCCCCTTTCTCTGGACCAGGGGTGAGGAAGGTCAGAAAAAGAAAACCAAGAGGCCAAAAGGAGGGGGAGGGGAGAAGAAAGGCGGGCGATGTCACCTTTTTTTCTTTTTTTCTTTTTTCCATCTGCAAACTAGATGTCACCTTTTTTTTCCATCTGCAAACTAGATGTCACCTTTTTTTTCCATCTGCAAACTGTCAACCCGGCATCGGGGACATCACATTGATCACAAAAAAGGATGGAAAGCAAGAAATTCAAGGAACGGCTAATAATGACGCTGTTTTCTTTTCTTTTTTTCAATTTCACACTCAATTTGCGTCAATTTGCATCAGCCCTGTGAGTCGTGACAGCTAACTGATCTTACTTGATACTCAGCGAACCCTGCTTGGTAGCCAAAGACCAGTGCAACGCGGTGTTGCCATCTGCGTCTGTCCCGTTGACAGGAGCTCCAGCATCCAAGAGCATAGCCTCCACGACATCATCACCTGCCTGCAACAATTTCATTCAAAATTCCAAAGGATTAACCCATCATTAAGGTGCCAAAACGCAGCTGCGTGCCCATCTCAATTGGCGTACTAGTCTTTCACCTTTTACTAAAGAATACCGTGGCGTGAGCACACTAAGCAGCTTACGCAAATTTGTCACAGGTCCCTCGCTCCGTCAATTAAAAAAAAAAAAAAAAAAAAAAAAAAAAAAAAAAAAAAACTGGGATGACACTCAGTGACTCAGATGCATCGTGATCTTCCTTCAGAACTTGGCATTCTTGGAATTCGTGCGGTCACAGTAATCCCTCTGTTCTTCTTCTTTTCCTACTTCCACTTCCCATTGCTCTTCTTCTTCACCTCCTACTACTCGGAATGAAGTTTACTTAAACTGATTATTCACTAGCTCTTAGCCTACCATTAAATGTAAGAAAACTCAGAATATTCTAGGAATATAAATTCAACAAATAATCATTCATATGAATTCATTACAATGTTGTTGATACTATCTATGAATATATAATTTAAGACTCCTTCCTCACCTCCCCCCATTGCTCTTCTTCACCTCCTGTATCTGTGAAATCTGGGTTTCAAAATATCCGATTCCCAGCTAATGGCAAGAATAATGGAGTAGCGACTCTCTCTCGCTCTCTCTCTCTCTCCCCTCCCCTTCTCTTTCTCTCTCTCTCTCTCTCTCTCTCTCTCTCTCACACACACACACACACACACACACACACAGCGGAAAAGATGAAAAGCAGAGGGGAGGAGAAAATGGCGTGGTTCTGTTCGAGCGTTCTTACATCGATGGGATCTCAACGTCCCTCCTGTCTGTACACCCATGTAAGCATGCATGGCAGATACAAACTGGGCCGTGCAGGCCGCGCAAGCCAATACTTCGGGAAACCGGAGTTACGATTTTTGTACGCGTCGGCATGAAACGAAAAAGCAATATTTCCCCGCCAGAAAACCTTCAAGCTTTTTCAAAAGTCGTGTTCGGGACATGGGTTGTCACTCTCTGGTTTTCCTCTTTCTTCTCCACTGACTCTCCTTGTCTTCTTCTATCCTTTTCTGTCGTGCTGTTGTTTCCTGGTTTTCATTCTCAATTGCTGAATACTGTCGTAGCTTTTGCACGATATACTATACATACCTTCACTACTCTTTTACTGAAGCCCCTTGAGTCAGGCGGCATGATTCCTGGGAGCCCGATGCAAAAAATCGGCTGGATCACCCGCCCGGCGGTTTCGTTTGGCCTTTTGCGCCTCTTTCTGCTCTCCCTGAATCTGGCCCTTCATTTGCGGCAGATTCGTTATCCGAAGCCCGAGTCAGGGGCGGATTAGTAATAAACAGGTCCGACTTCGGGTTGAAAAATCTAAGGAAAAGAGAAACCCACTGCCAACTGTCTGGGATTTCTTAGAAAGAAAAAACGAACTTTCTGGGGTTTCGCCCGCGTTTGTCAGACAGAATGGCATAAAGAATTTCAGAACCTACTAAGGGCATACTCACACCAGAACTTTCCTGAGCACATCTGACTACAATTACGCCCAGACCGGGATGCATGCGACAGCAATGACGGCCAGACCTTGATGCATCTGACAGCAATCACATCCACAGCTAAGTCAAGAAAGTCCAAGTGTGAGTACTATGCCCTAACTCCTCATCTTCGTCTTTTTGGTCAAAAGGTGGTCTCCAGATAAGTGACCTCCTCACTGTTATCAATCACTTACACGACTGCTATTAGTATTTATACACCAGTGCTGACTTAGTGACAACCCCCGAATTCAAATCGGTCTAAGCTCGGGAATAACCCCTTTACTTTTTCTTCGAAGGGACAGCATCACCCCGACAACAATGCACCACCGCCTTCGTCTTCCCCCGAACGCAACACACGCTGATTGTGTCTGCATCGGACCGGAAAGACGGCTTGAATACACTCAGAATCCAGGTGCGTCATGTTCGGGAGAACCCGGAGAAGACGGTGGGGCGACCACCCAGCAGCCCATCATGCACTCGGTTATCGACACATCCATTTGCATACGAGTGATACCACCCAAGCTGGCCAGATTCTGGATTTACAACCCTGCGCAGCCCGTTTACGTACTTCCCCCCCCCTACTTTTCCGTTTTAAGTTCTAAAAATAGGTTGAATTGGTTCAACATAGGTGTCGACAGCGACGAGAGGAAGGGTATAAAATTATAAATACCTGTGCGGCAAGAATCAGCGGTGAATGGACACTGCCAGCTGACTGAGCTGAGAGCGTAGCAACGGTAGCATTGCTTCTTCCCAAGTTGGGTTTCCACAACAGAACCAGCTCCAGTCCTCTCAACGCCACCCGTCGACTAATCCTTCCACTCGGCAAACCCGGCCCGAAGCCAGGGTCATCACCATCGTCGGGCTTCTTTGTTTCCGTCAGATTCTCGCACGATTCAGTCGTAGCACCAACCGACTTCGCCTCTTTCAAGTTATGAACGGCTTTCCCAGCCGTGAACGAAAAAGAGCTATCACACTCTTTGTTGAATCCTTCGTCGCCATCTCCATCACACAATGTCATGTGCTCACCTCCCATCCTCTCATCTTTTCTCGAAGAGGCCATGCCTATCAAGACGTCCAAGGAGTCCCTGCATTTCTTTGTACGGAAATAGGGAGCTTTAACAAGCAGAGACACCGCACGCTGCACGTCTGCCGCTTCTTGTGGCGTAACAATGAATGATAAGTCAACGGCCATGCGAACCAGCACATCAACAAGCGTCGGAGAGCTCCCTTCCGTCCGACTGCGGTGAACGGAGTCGACGATTTGTCGCCCTCCCGCAACCAAGAGAATAGCCAGACTGGTAAGGTGCCCACTCATTGCCTTCTCGTACGCAATCTGAGCTGCTGCATCACTACCACACTTCACAAGAGCCCGAACTACAGACACATCCTGTGCAAGCCAAGTGGAGCGAGATCAAGTCAGCGACAAGCAACCGTCGCAGCAGAGATCACCAGCAATCATCCAATCGTAAGGTGATAATTAGTAGATACGCCGCACGGGAAAACCCATTGGTCATACCTTTCTCGGCCTTTTGGCTAAGATCAAGTGTATCTGTTCTGATCAGTTTAATATCTGATCCGTGGCCCATCGGACCACATAAAAAAAAACAAAAAAAAAAACCAAAAAAAAACAAAAAACAAAAAAACAAAAAAGAGACTAAAGAGGGCCGTGAGGGGGAATAAAATAGAGGATGAAAGGACAGATCAACACGAGACAGAGACGGCGGGAGAATAAAATAGAGGATGAGACCCAAAGGAAAAGAAAAAAGATAGCCGGCGAACGACGATAAACTGGGCAGCAGACGAGAACCTCGACACAGGCCATGGTCAACAAAACCGACGGGAACCTCGACACAGGACAATCAACATGGTGAAAGAAAAGTGACGATAAGCACAAGACGCCGCAAAGAGGAACGACAAGACAACGGACAGAATGAAGAGAAGACTATGATTGACACCAATAGAATCACAACTAGAGGGCGGAAGACAACGTCACAACGGACAAAGACGAGAAGAACATGATTGACACCAATAGAATCACAACTACAGGGTAGGAGACAACCATGCAGGAAACGAATGGTGAACTAAACGGACGTTAGGGAGGACAGTGCGAGGAGAACAAAGCCAAACTTTGAGTGGACAAGGACGAGGAGACGACAGAAAATGAAGAACGAGATAATGGGCAACAAAACAACGCGGAATTCGAGCAAAAAACGATACCACAGTCGGCGAGACAGGCATCTAATCTCTATGACGACCGATGTTCAAAGACGAGAAACGACGCAACCGACCATGGACCGACTTGGGATACATTGCAAGATTCGAGACTCCATGCTTACAATAAGTAACTCCCACTAGATCTTCTGCAATGTACACGCAACATCTCAATTGGGTGAGCAATGTGAAGTTGTGAACATCCTACTTACCCGGATTGCTAATTCCTGATTTCTGATCTTCTGCAATGTACACGCAACATCTCAATTGGGTGAGCAATGTGAAGTTGTGAGCATCCTACTTACCCGGATTGCTAATTCCTGATTCCTCACCGTAGCTTTGGCAGATCGAAGGGCCGAGCCCTTGCTGAACACCGCACAAATTGAATATAATACGCACACATATGAACAGAAGTGACAGTGCACATTTCATCTGCAATCCGTTATTGACGTGATTACTCTGTCCATAAACTCGTTACAGTCGTCGGCAATTAGCGGACTCATAGTCTCATACCATCCACTCTCAAGCCAGTGACAGTGCACATTTCATCTGCAATCCGTAATTCACGTGATTACTTTGTCCATAAACTCGTTAACATTCATCCACAATTAACGGACTCAATAGTCTCATACCATCCACTCTCAAGCCAGTGACAGGGCACATTTCATCTGCAATCCGTAATTCACGTGATTACTGTCCATAAACTCGTTAACATTCATCCGCAATTAACGGACTCAATAGTCTCATACCATCCACTCTCAAGTCGGGTCGGGTCTAAATTTTTAATCAATTTGTAATTCACATCAACCATCTCAACTTACGGTTGTTCGAAGTTCGAGGGACAAATTCACATCAACCATCTCAACTTATGGATAAATTTTTAATCAATTTGTAATTCACATCAACCATCCCCACTTTCCTTGCAAAAATAGATGTTTCGGACCCGTATAACATTTCTGCTGCCAAACTTCAAGAACGCGCTATTTTTGCAATTGCCCCAATTTTCAATCAAATCAAACTGTATATCGCAATTCTCAATCTCACAGACGGGCCTCAGTAGCGTGAAGCCGGGTAGTAGCCATGCTTAAACGGTTTAGATAATATCAGCGTAGGTATCACCGTAGGTAACGCAACAGTATTTCTGGCCCCCCATGTACGTTCTACAAGTTCACGTACATTTGGTGGGCAACGTTCTGTATTTTATTATGTGTTCGCCTTCGCTTTTATCAGAGTCACAGAAGCCATGCTAAAACGGTTCAGATAAAAAAAAAAAAGTTTTTGAGTAACGCAACAGTATTTCAGCCCCCGTGTACCGTTTTACCAGTTTCCGTTTGGTGGGCAGAAAGATGAGTATTAGATGATTTTTTTTACATCATAGTATCATAGTACTAACCTTGTCGTGCAGCTGTCGAACAAGCTCGCCTAGAGCGTCTCGGGCATTCTGAGACCAGTCCACTTCCAATTGCAACCTGCATGCAATGCACCATGAATCCATGATCACGTGCGGAGTCAACATCAGCACCCACCACATCCGCGTCTCATTTATGCCGCGAACGGTGACTGTGCCAGACGTACGTGTTCACCATCAGCAGCACTATCGTCGTTCCTCCAGAGTCCGAACACAACGCACGCTCATGATGACGGTACCGAACCGGAGAGACAGCTTGTACACATTCGCGATCAGAATGCGTCGCATTGGGGGCAAAACGATGGTTATATCAAAAAAAAAAAAAAAAAAAAAAAAAAAAAACGGTCGATACGTACCTGGCTGGTTAAGGAGAAACAGAGGGAGCAGTGGCAGGACGATCTCCACCACCTCGAAAGAGTGCGAAAACCGCAATCATCGATCCGCTTTCTCTTGTTTCTTTTTCTCAAGGGGGTAGCCCCTTCCCTTCCCGTTTTCCCCCGAATAGAACATGCAGTCATTCACGACTGGATCTACACTTAAATGTGGCCTAAATGCAGCTATAATGACCGTACTTTCTATTCGGGGGAAGACGGTAGTATCTAGCAGTACATGAGCCCTGCAGCTGTTTATCAGAAAGATAATATCCTTGCGTACGCAACTCGCGTTTCTGTACCGTTCAAACACCAGGGCCATTTGCCTCCATCAGCTCTCGATGACCAATATCCAGGCTGCGCTGATTGGTCAATTCCTGACACCATGCATCCACCCATCGGCAACTCCCGCGCAGGCGTCTAACGTCGATGGAGACGTACATCCATTATCTCGATTCTCGATCGACAAAATCCCAAGCAGTCAAATTAGCAGTCCTTTCTAGATACAAGATTGACGCAAGCACCTCTGTAGCCCTGGCCAACCAACCAGGGCATAGGATGCCCCTCCTGTCTTGATCCTGTCGACCTCTACCGCAATGGTCTACAGGTACCATCAGGCTTTCAACTATCCCTAACGCAACGACTCGGCAGCCCCGATGCCAAAACATATTTACCGTGGTAACATCATATCTTTTTTTTTTTTTTTTTTTACATCAATTTTTTAAATTTCCACCGCAATCGTTTAGTACAGGTACCGTGAGGCTTTCATCCATCCATCCCTTAGAACAACAACAGGTGATTAACACGCCAGTGCAGTTGCTTGAAGCCTTGAACATGTTCATCAGTAACAGCAATATTCCTCGGTCGGCTTTTCGAGCACAACCAGCAGCATGACTGCAATTGTCAATACCCAGCCCCGTTCCGTTCCACAGTCTCCCCAGCCAAGGCACTTGACCACCGTGTTCATAACCCTGCGCAAACACCGCTAAGCCAGCAAAGACTCCTGAAGAGGACCGGTGGGCGACCGGCCGAAAGGCCCGAAACGAGAGTCACTTTCGCCGCCTGTTCGACAGCATCGAGGGTTTTCCACAGCGACGGTCCTTGGGTTATTCCTCAGGGTTTTTCGATTGTATCCCTCGTTTTGTGCTCGGGATAATCACGAGTTTTTTGACTCGTGTGGCCTATCGTCTCTTGCTGTCTTCTTCTTGTCTCTTCCTCTTTCATCTTCTCCTGCCCTTGTCTCCTTCCCCTGCTTTTGTGACGTGTCTTCTCTAACGCACGTGTATTGCGTCAAGCATGATATAATTGATATTGATTTGCCATCAACTAAGTAGTACGTGTTACGCACGCCACCTCGACGCACCATGACGAATCTTTGTCCACAATTCAATGTGCTGAGACGGGCGCGGTCCTATACAAACCTGCTAGTGTATCGTGAACAACTAAAATTCAATTGAGTGAAGTGGTGGGCACTATCGAACGATGATTCGTCACGGAGAGCCGTACAATGGGAAACCATCACGTGCTGTTCGGAGGACGTGTGTTTGTTTTAATAATCGTCACATACGTATTTATTTTTCTCTTGTCTGTTCCTGTTAGTGTCAACTTATATCCACTAAGTGGATGAATCGAATCAAACTCGTGGCTACGCGTGCTTAGCTTGTGAAGCCTTCCAACGCAATCGTCGTCTTCCCCCGAATTGAACGTCCGGTCTTCACAGCTGTATCTAAACTGAAAGTTTCCTCAAATACAGCTATAATGAGAGGGCGTTCTATTCGGGTGCAGATGGTAGTGAAAACGACCATGGCCCTGCACCTCGTTCTTTAACCGAATCTGCACGTCCGTCCTTTATTTTTTCCTTTTTTTTTCTCTCTCAATTTCACCTCACACTACCTACCTACCACTACTCCTAATTGATTGTAGGCATACGGGGAACCCCGTAGCAGCCAGAACCGTGTTCACGAGAGAACATGCGGGGGTTGCTCCCGACCTGCAGGTGGGCGATACCGGCTAGGGGACAGCCGGTAGCATCAGGGACCATGCCAACAGGACCAATCCCTGTGCCTCCCCTCAGGTGGTGGTCCCCCCCCCCCTACGAACATCAGCAGACTCTGCTCAATGCCGATCGGGGGATCCAGTGGTCTATCTCTAGGTGGCGGGCGCCAAGCATGCCCAGGAAGGTACATGAGGCCAATGGGTATTGAACCCACGACCTCGTGAATGCCACTTGCGTGCCTTACCAACTGAGTTAGGCCGCTGGATACGTCCTTCCTTTCACGGGCACGGCGACATTTCCCCCACTTAACTATTGGAAATTTGGGGGCGTAATTGGTAGATACGGCGCACAGAAAACCTGTTGGGTTAGTCACGCCCTCAATCTTCCGGCTAGGTCCTTCCTCCCGCCCCAAACTTTTCCCTCTCGCAGCTATCCGCCTTCGCGTCGTGGCAATGGGCCTGGGCCGCCTAGCCTCTTTGAGCTCCTACGTGCGGCGTTCGCTAAAAACTTGGCTGTGCGGCGTTCGCTAAAAACTTGGCTGTGCGGCGTTCGCTAAAAACTTGGCTCACAGAAACAGCACAGCGCTCCGTTAAACAACGACTAAGTATGAAGGTGAAAAACCAAAAATTGCGCAAGCACTCCCTTCCACCAAAAGAACTGGAAAACCAATCGGACAAAAAAAAAAAGAAAAGACCACACGTGATGAAAAGAAAAGACAGGCGGCCAGTCGTGTTTTGGAAAAGGTGTTCTTCATTGAGGCTGTGATCCGACCCTTCTCTCCGCCCTCGTTCACTATTCTACTCAATTATTTCAATCGATTCAGTCATCCAGTGATAATAGACATGCATGTATGATATACCTGTGATTGCCAAGCGCTAGCTCCAGCGGCGTCTTCTCTTGCTTGCACTTCACGTCCGCCTTCGCCCCATAGGCAAGAAGAAGATCGACAGTTTCCCGGCTCAAGCTTTCAGCAGCAAAATGCAGAGCCGTCTTCCCGGAAGAGCGGTCAATCACGCCATTGACCTTGTTGTCGTGCTTGTCATCGTCCTGAGTAGGTTCATTACTCATCTTTGTGCTCAACAAGGAGCGCACGCACGTCACCGAGTCCTCCTCGCAGGCAAACTGCAACAGCTTGTCCCTCAACAAATCGTCAGCTTCCTCCTGTGTAAAGGTCGTGGTCTCTTCGGCTCTCATGCAGCTATCGGCATTTTTGGTGCTGTTTCCACCGTTCTCGCCGTTGTCACTCAGTGGCACGCTGCTGCTGCTCGAGCCTCCGTTACTCAGCACATCCTCTGTCGATAAGCTCGCCGCACAGCTGCTCTTCGATGTCTTAGCGATTATCCTCAGGGCCTTCTGAATCGCTGGCTCCAGTAACTCCACGTTATCTTTTGAAACAATCGTTAAGAGGGCATTGGTATGGGTCGCTGCCGATGAAGATGGCACAGTCTGCCCCTTCTTACCAACCTCACCCAGCACGCCAGCGGTGCTGCCCTTGAGTACGTCGTCCTTAGCCTTCGCCGTCAGAACGCGACGGAGTGCGTCATACTCCTCTGCCACGTTTGCCATTCCGTCCATATCCCCACTAAATCAAACTCACTGTCACAGAAGAGTGACCGATATCGCTTACTTCCAGATTCGACTGGACAAGCTTTGAACCCGGGACTTGCCCCGTCACAAAAGAACTCAAATATATATCTTATGTAAGTGCCGAAACGAAAATATATATATGTATATCTTATATATACGCACAAAAACTAGAAAAGAGAAGCAGAGCCCTACCCAACAACTCTCGTTCTTGGAGAGAGCGGCAGAGAGCTGCCGCTGCCCATACACGATGTCGTCGGCGCTAGTGCTACTAGCTTCAATAGTCCAATCTTTGTTATTGGAATTTTCCAGAGAATGCTACGATCTGCCCGTGCCTTTTAAAGCAGCGCAGTCAAAAACAATTTGTGAAAATGTTTGCTGCTCATTGCTCACTGCTCTTTTCTCAGTCCGAGGCTCTGAGCCCTGCCTCCGCCGTGCCTCCGCCGACAACCCAAAGCCAGGTTGCCAGGCTACTCGCGTTTCTCGCACTGATTATCTCCCCACCCAATCCACCGCTGCTCCGGTCTCTCGCAATGGTTCTCAAAAAAAAGACTTAAATTGAATCTACTCCACCGAGTAACTTCCCTTCGCTTTTCACCTCCACCAAAGCTTTCACTAACTGTAGTAACCAGCTCAGCTCCCCTTCCTCTGACGAAGTCTGACCCCCAATTGGCTTGGATGTTGGTCAACCCGAAAATACGATGAACGTGCCCGAGCGATCGGCTCGCTCGCACAAGACGGAAACAGAATAGATTACGGAATTGGATAGATAAAGAGTAGATCAGATAGCTTTAGACACCGGTAAAGCTATCACGAGTAACTAAATTCACCGTCAACAGCCACGAGTACAAACTGTCTTCCCTTTTCCTCTTGACGGTAAGCGTTCCGAACGATAAGTAAAATCGAACTCAAGAAAGAAAATCAGACACAGGCGAGTCCTTTGTACTATCGATCAATCACTTAATCGCAGGAGGGATACTTCTGCACGGACGGACTATCGCACTTACACTACAGCTTAAATCACTCAAATCGCTGTCGCGGCACTCGTACGCCTTGACTGGACCATCGCAGCCTGCTCTTATAGCATCCACGTAGGGTTACTTCTTCTGCACGGAGGGACTATCGCACTTATACTACAGCTTAAATCGCTCAAATCGCTGTAGCGGCACTCGTACGCCTTGACTGAACCATGGCAGCCTGCTCTTATAGCATCCGCGTTGCCAGTTCACACGGCCTGATAGACACAAACCGAGCTGATTCGAAGTCCGAACCGTTTCGTTGTCCCCTTTGCCCGCTTCCGGTTTCGCCAAAATGCACCTTCCGCCGTCCTTCCGCCGTCCTTACCGATCTTCTTCGCGGCTTCGCCCCCTTTCGACTCTGCACTTTCAAATCAGATGCCCGTAGAGATTCAGCAAGGTGATGCAGTTCTTGAGTTTTCTGTTGACCTCTCTCCTGGCGCTGGTGCAGCGGCGCGTCGCAGGCCGTGGGTAGCGAGTCTTGCCTTACCGTTCGTTTAGGGACTGAGCATGGAGACGACCAAGAGGTCGCTTCTACTCCTACGGGCACTCCGAAGCCATCCGCGGGCCGCGGCAGCAATGCCCGCGGCGTGCCAGGCAACCACAGTCGTTCAAGTCAGAGCTTCCATAACCATGCAGTACCTCACGCGAACACTCTGCAATAGCTCCGTCAGCTCCGTGCCCCTAAATAAATAGTGCGGACTGACCGACATCACTATAAGTCAAACACCCCTCTACTGACTCTCTCCTCGCGCCTTCAACAGTTAAATACTGTTCGGAGTGGCCTCAGTTCCTCGCTTTCCTCGCTCAATGAAGTGAAGACCGCGACAACGCCAGTTAAAAATATGTGAGGCGACGTGGGGATGGGTAGGGTAGGTGGCCTATCCTGTCAGGACAGCCATTGGCTGCCGCTACCAGCAATCACCGCGTCTGGTCCTTGACCTCTACAACACCCTGGGCTTTCAAAAAAAAAAAAAAAAAAAAAAAAAAGTGAGGTGAGAGGCGACGTGGGGATGGGTAGGGTAGGTGGCTTATCCTGTCACGACAGCCATTGGCTGCCGCTACCAGCAATCACCGCGTCTGGTCCTTGACCTCTACAAGACCCTGGGCTTTCAAAACAAAAAAAAACAAAAAAATAGCCTGTCCCACGATGAGGAGAAGGCAGCTTTTGAAAAAAAAAAAAAAAAAACCCGTAGGGCGCCTAGCGTTGGCGGCGTCAACGAGATTGTCAGAGTGAGCTGACCCAAAAAAAGTGAGCCGTGTGGCGGGGGGACAATCTTGGCGGGGTAGCCGAAATTGCTAGAGCTAGCAGGGTGGGGGTGGGCGCGCTTGCCGAAAGCGAGTGAGCGGGGTGGCGGGGAGGACAAGCTTGGCGGGGTGGACGCAAATTCGCCTCGCAATTGCCAGAATGAGCGGGGTGGAGGTGGGCGAGCAGCGAGGTTGCTGAAAGTGAGCGGATTGGCCGGGAGAACAAGCTTGGCGGGGTGGGTGAATTGTTGGTACCCTGCGCTTGAGGTGGAGGCTAGGCAAACGCGGATTCGCGGGCTAACTGATGACTCGACGCATTCATTCACTCAGTTCAGTTTCGGTTCATGGGGCTTCTTCTCGGGAACGACGAAGATCAGTATCGTCGACAAAGCTCATGTACGGAAGTTCAGCCCCCCTAGCGGGTACCCTGGGCTTGACGGATCCCGAATCTTTGAATTGAATTGAATCTTGGCCAAGCCCTGAGGTCAGGGAAGGCGGCAACCGGCTTACCTGAGCACGATTGACACACCTCCCGCTCGACACTTCCGAAATTTTCAATGTTTTCACATTTATTTATCAATGTTTTCACATGTACATTGTACACCTTCAGCCTGAACTCGTCTTGCCGATTCCATCAACACGCAGTACACTCTACGTTAACGGCGACTGTGCATAGGGTGCATGCACATGCTAGCGATGTGGCAGGGAGTTGACGGTCGTGTGGGAGCACGTGATCAGAGCGAAGGTAGGCACCACTGCCGCACCAGCCGGTTTTTCGAGTCGTTTGGCTCCTCTTGCGACGAGATGTAGACCATCGGGGTCTGCAGCTGGCTGCAACGGCAGAGTTGAACGGCCGACACGAGGGAGTTCCCTGAATGCATCTGGAAGTAATATCCGCCAGACTCTGTGCACTGTCACTACAAATTGAAGTGATTCGCAGAGCCTCGTCTGACTCGCTGCAGTAGTGGCGCGCATAGCAATGCCACCTGGTCCCGGCTCTCCCCCCCAAAGTTCCCAACCCCTCGAGCCTTGCCGGGTGTTTAGCGATAGAGTATTTGGAGGCGGCCCAGTCACACTAGGAAGAGTGGCTTTTACGGAAGCGGCCAGATAAACCACCATTGACCTGGCTTAAAGAGGGATCACAGCCCCTGGAGACTCTGTTCAGGTGTAAAGGCATGGCGCCGCGCTTGTCCGTGCTTCACCTTAGACTTGGGTAAGCTGGGCCAGTCCGGGCTTGTCCCATTGAGCCTGCCTAGCCCTGGTGCCTGTAACTGCTATTCGGTCGAAGTCATGCTCTGAGATAACGAGGTGATAGTCCGACGTGATGAACACTGAGATAGGATAGTAGGAATAGGGGGTGCGCTGGGAGAATGATGAGAGGATGGGTCAGAAGGCGGTCTCACAAATGAAACGATTGTCAGGACAACCAATGGCCGGCTCTGGCGGCTCGTGCAGCGTGTGTCTGGAACCTGGCCTCTACAACAACCGGGGCTTTTCAAGAGAAAGGAGGGAAAAAAAAAGAAAAAGAAAGCACAAGGCATGGCCATGATTTGGACAGCAAAAGAATTTGTGGAATGCATGCAGCTTTTGTAGAAGGGGCCAAGTGCGAGACAGACGGAAGAGGAATAGTGGGGGGAGAGGGGTCAACTTGTTGCTGAATGGAGACAATGATTGACCAGGGGGCGCTAAAACAGGATGGGCAATGGAAAGGGGGACATGGGTAAGACAGGGAAAACGTCAATAGTTTAGTTCATAT